TGCTAGTGCTTGTTTTAGACCTAGGAGTTCATGTCTTCTGACAAAACACACAAAAGTGTGGCAGACTAACATGTCAGTTTGTAAGCAGCAGAAAATCTCAGACCTCCCACCTTCCATGTTCTTGACACTCCCAGCCATAAGCCCATGGGGACTGGATCAGGAAGAAACCAAGGAAAAGGAAGGTACAACATAGTATCACTGTAGGGCTGAAGACATACACACCAAAGAAAAGGCAAACACGCTCCCAAAAAACTCTAGGATTCCCACACTCTGATTCCTTTCATGACAAAATATACCACAATTCAGTCAGCCAATTCAGTATGACCAATAGCAAGGGTTTCAACAAACTCTTTGGAATCTAGATAATTCATTTGATATTCTAACAAAGTTTGGCTCTGACAAGAGAAGACGGAAAACACATACAGAAAGGAAAAGGAAAAAAAAAAAAGAAGGAAATGAAATAACAGAAAATTAAAGTGTGGCAGAAACTGAAGACAGGTTAATCGACACTTATTCCATTCCTTTTCTACTAAGGAAGAACTGGCCAACATGAAGGGACAAACACACGAAGACTGGATCCTGTGATAGATGGTTTGGTTCTGCTAGGGAAACCATGGTAGAAAGTCTACTGTCTGTTCCTAGTGTCTCGGATGTTGTCCAGAATAGAGTGTTGGAAGTAGTGTTTCCATTAGAACATCGCTGTGATGTGGTATGGCATTTTTTCTTCTAGCTATGTACTATCCACATATGATTCCCTGGGCCTACCAGAAATTCTATAGAGTGCCCAATACCATTTCTGCTTAAATTACCTAGAGCAGATTATGTTGCTTACAGTTAAAAAACTCTACCTGATATATTTGAAAAAAGAAAAGTAATGTATGCTTTTAAGTCCTATATTTATATTTGTACTTTCTTTCTATATAATAAGATTCTCTAAGGCCTGAGAATAACTTTAAGCTATTCTGGGCGCACACAGCTTTTCATTTTCTTACTATACAGTATCAAATGGGGGGTGGGGGGAAGTATGCTCAATTCTGTCATAATCATAGGCAATCAAATTATCTTTATTATTATAATCAGACTAGCAAAATATCTAATAATCCTCTTTTAAAAAGTACTCTTTGACAAATATACTTTACAATAAAAGAGCAATAAAGATCTTTTTTATTTTACTATCTCCCATTTTCTCCACTTTAAAAGCAAACAATTGGTTTCTATTTTATTCAGCAACAAACAAGTTTTATTTTTAATTTGGTGATTTGCTAATATCACCCAGATTAGTACATTTTAATAAATGCAAATTATATAGCTAATGGAATAAAATGGGCACTTAGAGCAATAGCTTTATGAACAAATTGATAACCAGTTACCTCTAAAATATACTTTACTTGTGGAAAATTCAGAAAGACGCAGAGAAGAAAGTATTTTCAGATATTATTACAGTGTTACTTGATAATATAAGTATACTTGAAAAAAGAGCATAATCAGCAATTCTCAAAAAAGATAATCTACTTTTACCTTTTTTTTTTTCTTTTGGCCTAAGTTAGCATTCTGGAAAATGGTACCTTTTAGTCTTAACCTAAGCTTGCCACATGCTAGCTATTTCGCACATTAGGCTTAATAACAACGAAAAGCCTTTATTAGGCAATAAAAGCCACAATAAAATGGTTGAACAGGGAAAATAAGAATGTAGAACAATCCTTCCTTCCCATTGTCTATTCTTAATCAAGATCATGAAAATTTAACCTGAATATGTAAGAAAAATAAAAAAAAAATAAATTAAAATGATGCTAAGATAATCTTTTACTTCTTGATGAAAATTAAGCTTTAAAAACTACATTAAGAAATTTATTTTAGTTTTACAGCATATCAAAAAATTAACAATACTATTAACTATAGCAGTAAATGCAATTACTTAAAAGTAAGGCAATTAGTTTCATAAAAGCAAATATAATCACCCACCTATACCTTGGCAAGTTTCTCAAAAATTAAATCAAAATCAAATACATGACTTTCACAACTATCAAAGGACAATGTTGCTGCTAGCCCCAATCCTCCTCACCTCTATTCACTTAATATGGCAAATAGGCAGTAGTTTAAAAAGCAATCATCTCCACAAATGCTCACAGCATTATTCATAACAGCTAAAAAGTGGAAACAACTTAAATGTCTATCAACTGACAACGTATAAACAAAATGTGGTACATTCATGCAATTAACTATTATTGGCAATAAAAAAATGCAGGACGGATATATACTCCAACATGGATAAACTTTGAAAATTGTATGCTAAATGAAAGAAGCCAGTCACGAAGAACACATAGTGCATGATTGCACTGAAGTGAAATGTCTGGAATATGCAAATCTATAGAAATAAAAAGCAGATTAGTAACTGTCTCAGGCTAGAGAGAATATGGGATTGTGGGGTTACAGCTAAGGGGTAAGGGCTTTCTTTTGGGGGCAATAAAAATGTTCTAAAATTGATTGTAATAAAGGTTGCACACCTCTGAGAATATACAAAAACACTGAATTGTACACTTTCAACAGCTAAATTATACATTTATTTTATCTGAATAAAATTTTTTTAAAAAAGAAATCACTTCAAAACTGTACCAAATTTTTAGATAAATAGAATTTTTAAAATTTCTTTAAGTTTTAAGATCTTCTATAGACTAGTAACCTATAAAATTCCAAATTTTCAACAGACAGCTGTCTTCCTACAAATATTCATTGGCTAAATATAAATTTATCAGAACTATAGAAATGTTACTTTTCCACACTAAAGCACCCTCCATAAAATTAGTAACTATCCATAAAAGAAATGACTTAATTTACCCTAACATTTATCTAATTAATACATCTTGCCTTCAAGTTCATATTGGTTTAATTAGTAGTCAATTAAAAATCAAGATCAAATAGATTTACCTTAATGTCTGATAGCCAAAACAAATTTAGTATACCAAATAACCAACACTTATAAGGTTGCAATAGTCAAAACGTTCCAATTAATGAGTTGATCATGTCATTTACCTAGACAAAACTGGGCTTTGTTCTTATCAAGCCATTCCTCATCCCTTCCCTCACAGTTTAAACCTCAAGTGATGGATACTGTTGTAAAGAATGGGAGCCCAGTTTTACCAAGATTCTTAAAAACATTTTTTTCTGAAATAATTATACATTCATAGAAAATTGCCCAAAAAAATCAGATAAAGTAATTGTTCAACTTTTCTCTACAAAGTTTTCTTTAGGTTTACTCTTCATTAATTTTGTAGTGAATAAGAAGCCTGAGGCCAGATGAAAAGGAACTGGTCAAGGCACCAGATGACAACATATCAACTACACAAGGGAAAAACACAAAAACAGAAAAGAAGGAGGAAAGAGATGGAAAGAAGAGAAAAGGGAACAAAGGGGGAAATAGAAGAGGAGACAGGAGAGAAGAGACAGAAGAAAGTACAGACAGAAGAGAAATGGGGGTAACAGTACATGAACTGAAACCCCAGCACACCAAGTGACTGAAGGTGTGGGTCTATGTCAGAGACAAAGAACACATCCCAGACCTCTGATAAGCCCAGAATGAGTGAAGACAGGCTCTTTGCAAGAAGCTCCAGCAGGACCGATGTATTATATTAATAATAGAGACCATCTACTCACATCTTTAATCCTGCCTACTGCCAAGAGAAACAAATCACAACAAGGTTCCTCGCTTATATTCATAAACATTGTCAGCTGAAATGTCATCATAAATTTATTAATTTCATAGCTCCTAGCACATTCTGATTTTTCTTCAAATACTATGTTACTTTTTACTTTTAATTTAATTTTTAAAATTTAACATTTGGCATTTCTATTCCTATCATACCAGGAAAAAATAACATGACAAGCTACCCAAAGCTTTAAAGAAAAAATTATAACTTTTAACTTTTATTAAGCATGAAACAGATTTACTTCATATCTATCGAGCATTGGTTTCCAAACTTTGGTGCATGTCAGAATCACTTGAGGATTTTTTAAAAACTTCAAATGACTAGGTCACAACCACACCAATTAAATTTTAAAAGTCTAGAAGTGAGAATCCAGTATCAATATTTATTTTTAAAGGATGCTCAGGTTTGATTAATAATTATTTAACAATAATTACACTAATAAAAACCTAGTGTCTTAGATAAACAAACAAACATTGGTTATTCAGCTTAGATACCAAAATGTTTAAGTATAGGCTGGGTACAGTGGCTCACACCTATAATCCTAGCACTTTGGGAGGCTGAAATGAGAGAATCACTTGAGGCCAGAAGTTCAAGACCAGCCTGAGCAACATAGCAGGACCCCGTCTCTATGAAAATAAGAAAAATTAGCCAGGTATGGTAATGTGCAACTGTAGTCCTAGCTACTTAAGAGGCAGAAGCAGGAAGGATTGCTTGAGCCCAGGAGTCTGAGGTTGGACGGAGCTATGACGATGCCACTGTATTCTGGTCTGGGCAACAGTGTGAGACCCTGCCTCAAAAACTAATAACAAAAAAATAAAAATAAAATGTTTAAGGATAAGTGTGAAGTATTGAAAGTAAATACTTTTGAAAATATCTGTAACCTTGGGTTTCATTATTATGCATGTAAGCTTGCAACTTTTCAATTATGAAAAATAAAATGAGAAGACATGCATAATTCACCTAATTGGCAATACTTTTTAGAAATTACAATAATTAATGAGACTAATGTAAACAATTCATAGGACTATTGTTATACCTTTTACAGGGAAACCTAGTAATTCCACTCCTAGAAAAGTAAGCAAAGGAAATAATCATATTTGTGTGCCCAAGATGTATCTATAAAAAATTACAACTAGTACAGACTGGACTTTCACATATTTATTACAAATGCCGTAAAAGAATATTAAATGGCATACAGAGCTTCATAATAGTATTTACATATAAGCCAGTCACAAAACAGTTACAAAATAATGTATATGGCACTTAAAAATAGATTTTATATAACATGAAACTCACTTGCAGTTGAACTGAATTGTGTCGAAGGCCTTCCACAATAGGAAAAAATCTGTCAATTTTTCTTTCTTCACCAGCTGAAGTTAAAGCTTCTAAAACTTCTTCAAGGCTATTGGAAATTTTGAATCTATTAATTAATTTTAAGTAGCAAATAACACAAATGTCATAATACACTTGCTTCATCCTATTAAAGAATACTAAGCAACCAATAACATTTTAGAAGTAGCTTACTGAGTACACAGCATGTACTGTTACTATTAACAGTGTTATAAAGCACTGTTCCAAGCATGTTTTAATTCATTTATCCCTGACAATAACCCTATGAAGACATTTATTTATCAAACATTTACATAATCCTTACTATCTGTTAGGTACTATTTGAACCACTTTACAAATATTAACTCATTTTAAAGTATTTAACAACTGTATGAGGTAGCTAAAGTATTATTACCTCATATTATAGATTAGGAAACTAAGGCAGAAAAAGGTTAAGCAACTTGTCCAGGGTCTCACACCTACTAAATGGTGGAGTAAGGATCTGAAACCAGTAAAGTACTGTTATATATATTACTTTCTAAATCTGCCTTACATATAGATTTTCAAATAGTAATATGCTTGCTTCTACAAGGGAATAGACATGACCTACAGTTTGAAATAATTCTATCTGAAAAACATCAGATAAGAAACAGTACTATGTGTATATTTTCCTAAGTCTTCATTTAGAATTTTAATAAGGGCTTAAGTTCAAAATGGTTTTAATATGATGAAGGAATCAGTTTTTCATAGAAACATATTAGCTTATAACTAATATATCAATTAAGAGAAATTATTACTCAAACATTTCTGCATAGCCAATAATCTTAATCAGCTGTCTAAATATACCTCAATATTTATTTATTTAAAGTAAATTCTAGACTAAAGTAGGATAGTGAAACATTAAATGAATCAAGCTGTAGTAAATTATTACACAAGTAGAGGAAAAAGTTGAGAACACTTACATGCTTTCCTCCCCTACAATGCACATTGCAGAGAGAAGTTTAACCACATCTGTCATCATATTGGGGTACGTGGGATCCATGGCTTTGGCCAATAAGGAAAGACTCCTCTCTTCACTCATAATTCTTTCCAAACCATACTATAAAATTTTGAGAATAAGAGGTTAAATGTTAGGAGTTATTTGGAAAAATAAGGCTCTAAAGGAAATGTAGGTAGTTATTCAAAAACTTTTATGGAATAAAACGCTTACTAAAGTGTAATAATATAAAGACCATGGAACACCTTAAAAATTCATGAAAGTAATCACTTTATGTCAAGAACTATGACATCAAATATAGATAACTCCTCAACAGTGATTTTACAATAATATAACTGATAATTATTAAGAATAGGTAAGTGGTCAACTAGAGAAAGGGAGAAGCAGTGAGAAATATGGGACTTCCCAAAAAGAATGTACAAAACAAACACCCAGATATCGAACCAGATACTGAGACCATGAAGGGACCATTTTCCTGGGAAGAGAGATCTTACCACAAGTAAAAGCACAGATTAGCACTATTCAAGAGAAATGCAATGTGAACCACATGATTAATTTTAAATTTTTAAGCAGCAAATAAAACTATTTTCAGCAAAATTAATCAAATACATCCAAAATAACATTTCAACTATAACCAACATGAAACGTTTATTGATGATAATTCATTTATTTTTCTTCCTAAGTATTTGAAATGCAGTGTGTATTTTACACTTATAACACATCTCAATTCAGACTAGCCACATGTTAAGTGCTCAAAAGCCACAGTAGCTACATTATACAATGCAGGCCTAGATATTAACACTTACTTCATAAATGGGCAAGAGATAAAGGATGATTTGGGCAGATAACACGTAGAACTGGCATAATGTATTCTAATCAAAATAATTTATCATCAGGAAGGCAATGCACTTGCAAATTCATTACTTAAAGGGGACGATTTGGGATACGAATAAAGTTTGTCAGTTATAGCCAGGATGTCACATCCAATTAGAAGATAAGGAGTTATGTTAATGACATATCTGTGAAAGATAACTATCAAAATACAGAGGATGAATAGAAGCAATAAAACAGTACTATTTACCTATCATGTATCTTGGAGGATCCTTCTAAAGACTGAGAAATCGTTTAATCAGAGTTACTACCAAGCACTAAAAACAGGCCTTGATCCCAATAACAGACCTATGAACTATGGCTTAAACTAAAACTTAGTACTATATATAAGCAAAGCTGCATCCATAACAAGCTTAGACTCAAATGTTTTGATTAATATGCAATCTTATTTATAACTTTCCTATATTGTATATGGCATCTATGCACAGAAACTTTCACACTGTGCTAAAATACTGCATTTGTTTTAACCACTATCTAAAGAACACAGGTACAATGGAGGAAGTATAACCACAAGGGCCAGGGGCCCCAGGATAAGACTTTTGGAGCAACTTCTGTCTTGTTGGTGATAGAGAAATGTTTACAACAAGACAGCTAAACAGTCAAGAAATGCTTGCTTTTCTGATGCCCTGGGCTGTTACATAACTGGAAACAAAGAATAAAAAAGTAGGCATAGGGCCAGAAACTACAAGATGCCTCAATATTCCAGGGAATTGTCAGCAGTTTATAAAATGCTACTTAGATTCAATTCAGATAGTCAGTGAATGATTATCTAGTACCAAAGAGCTGGATTTGTCCTAATAAACCTGAGGACTGAGTAAAGCTTGCTTCTGGCATTTCCCCTTTATTTCCCACACACTTAGCTGTCCTTATCTAGCATCCACCCTTCTAGAATCAGAATCTTACGACTCCTCCAGCCATCTAAGGCAACTCATGCTCATTTCCTCCAAGTGATACCACCTACCTCCTCAATCAAGCCCTCAGGCCCTAAACCATTGTGTGTGAAGAGTGGAATATGAGCATTCTCCAATTTCACAGTTTTAACCATTATCCTGTGACCCCAAAGGTCCATTGCAGACCTCTCTGATTTTGCTAATGTAAAAATGTATAGTGCTTACTTTGAGACTAAACTGAGGCCAGATCACCACAACTCAATATCTATAACTAAATATAGAACTGCTATTTCTATAAAATTACATTCAATTATTCAAACCATCAAGCAAAACAAACACTGTTGACTCTGTGTGAGAAATAGTCAACTTACTTACCAGTGCTAACATTAAAGTGCATTTAACGAAGGCTATTATTAAAGGTTAAAGAGGCTTGACAAATTTTGGAAGGTCTAAGCATGGATCTTTCCTGAATGTCAAGGACCCACTCTGGTTAATATGATAGCTGGCCTGTTCTAAAACTGAGGACCAAAGCCAGGTTCTATTTACATTCTAAACGAGGTCTATTATTACCTAATAGATGGAATTTCAGGCCATTGAATATGATGTTTTAAGTAGACGAAGGTTAAAACCGTAAATTCCTGTGTAGGCTGCCTAACATCTGGGCCCACACTACATGAATACTGGTGCTGAGCAACTACCCATGGTGAGTTAATCCCAGTAGCAGAGATAATGTGGGTCAAGGAGCTGCCTTCAGTAGCAAAGCATCCTCCCTCTGGGTGCACATTTCAAAACAACACACACAAAGTTAACTGCCCAAAATGAAGCCTCTGTTCTAATTACCCTTAAATTCAAATAAATTAACTTTTCATCCTTTTATTTTGTTCCTCCTAGGTAATTAAAATCTTCCATTTTAAAAATACTTTCTGTCTAATTTAATGTTATAAGAAATTCACTTTCATGTGATGTTATCAAATTTGCTCATTATGTTAATTATATAATTAATTATTGGTACCAAATAAAGTACCACTGTTTTTCCCTCTTAAAGCCTGTATTTCTTCATTCAATGAATTCTAATAAAGACTGCACAGTGAGATTAGCAAATTTTTTACTTAGAAATATGATCAGATAAAATTTAAGAAAACCATCAACCAATCCTGAAGGAAAAACACTTTCCCCAAGACTTTACATATTACTAAGTTTATCATTTAGACACTATAATACTAAGTATATCAATAACTCAATTTTTATTCTTATTAGCATATATAATAATAGCACCAAATATAAATGGCAACATTTTACACTCCACAAACATAAAATATAAGCAACAAAATCTGTTAATATAAAGGAATAAATAATACATTAATTAGAATATAAATACATAAAGTTTACTTCCCCTCCAATTCAGTCTCAAACAAGGTAGGAATACTATCTTCTGTATACCAACTCACTTTAACCATGATATTCTTCTTGAATAAAAATTATGATCCACATGCTCTTTTGGTTTAAAAAAAATGTTCCTGTGTTTTCTCTACTCTCTGCCTTTCCATCACCAATGAAATTTCCAATTTCTATATTCTCACTTTAGAAGGGGCCTCCTAAAACAGTTCTATGTACTCAGCAAGAAAAGATCTTTCTCTATCAACACTTCAGTTCTTTCACTCATTTACACTACAACATATTACATAAAAATTTACTTAATATATCTAAAATCTAATTCTTATCGAACAGTGAATTCAGTATAGAAATGAATTATGATTTCTACATCAGATATTTTCCTCAAAAATCATATCTGATTGGAGAGGGCAGGGAGAAAAAATATATTTCATTGGTAAAAAATAGAAAACTTAGCTCCAGAACATGCTTAAAAATATGTAAATAATTCACTAAGACAAAAAATGACTAGAAAATAGATATTTGCTATATTTAGTAAAAAGAAATGTAAAATAAATGTTAATAATTTAAATACCAGGACTTAGGTGTGTAGCCCTCTAAAAGTTTATTTTAAAAATGAGTACAAGGCAAAATATTATAAATTAAAATTAATCAGAAATATATAGGCAGTTTTGCTATAAAACAACAATCATCACATCACCACAGGTAAAATTTCCTTTCCTTCATCTAATAGCAACTTAAACACCTATCATTACTTCACACATCATGAGGTAGATGTGTTTAGATTTTGTAGCTAAAGAAATGGCATGGGACAATGCTAATTTCTGCAGTTAAAAGTATAAAAACAAACAAAAAAGAATTGTCAGATAAATGCAACTCCAGTAAATAGCTTTAAAAATTTCTCCCATCTAATATAATCTCTTTAAATATGCAAATTATGCAGATCCTACATATTACATTTGGTCTCAATATTACTTGGGTTAAACATCATTGCTCCTTTTCTGGGACCTGCTCCTATCTATAATTTCATTGTAGATTTTAAATTCCCAAGATTGAAAGAACTAAGTCTTTCCAACTTGAATATTATTACAGACTACATTTTATAATCATGTATGATTTTAAAGTTGTCTCATATTTTTGAAAGTTAAAAGAGAGAAGGGAGGGAGGGAAAGAGGAGGGAAGAAAAGGCCACAAAAATGGGAGAAAAATGGAAGGAGGGAAAGAGGAAGAGAGAGGAAGAGAAAAAGAAAGTTAATTAAACGTGAAGAGGTAAGCACCAGAAGAGGATCCATCATTCCCAAGTTTCTCTTCCTGCCTGACAGTTGAAACTAAACTTGAATAAAATTCACAATTTTTTCCATCATGCACTGAAAGGCACATCAGAGTGATATATCATCACTTTCGTACAAGAAAAAAAACGATACATTACAAAATTGGCAATGGATGAATACTATTACCTATTGTACATACCTGTGTATTCATCAGGGCTTTTAGACACTGTATGACTTTGTGTTGATTTTTCTTTACAACTTTTTCTTGGCTGTATTGAAATAAAAGATATAAATATTGGTAATATAATTGGACATACATAAGGCTTAACTGAAAGTAATTATTAGCAATACTTACATTTTTCCACCAATCAGTTTTTCCAAAATGTCTAGTAATAATCCGAGCCCCTCATGTCCAAAGCTTTCCACCCAACTGAAAAACACAAAAAAAGGTAGTTATACACTGTCAGTATTCTAGTTTGGATTATCATGGTAATGCTATATACTCACAAGTATTTTATACTTGTTATATTCATAATATAACTTCAATATAAGAATAACATCATATGCTAAAGCATTCATGACTCATAATCTTAGCAGTGAAAGAAGAAGCAAAGAAGGGATAAACCAACATTGTGCTATACTCAGCTTCTACTGGTTTGTGAGAGCTGATTATGCCCATCTCTTCCATGCTCTGTGTTCAGTAACACCATGTTGGCACCTTGAAATCAACCATGGTGAAAGTATTTACATCACAGAAATTGGCAAATGCTACCAATCGGAGCTTCCCCCATCCACCCACACAGAGCTGGCTGTAAAACATTTTACTAGCACACCACTGGATAAACCCCATTTTGGACTATTCCAAAGAACAGAGATTAGAATGATAACCAAAGAAACAATATCATATTTAAACATAAAAAGAAGGTGAATTAAAGTACTTATTGAAAAGGTAATATTAAAATACAAATATGCATAAAACATCTCCCTATTTTCTTAAAAATTTGCAATGTCAAATTGTGAATAAAGATCTATGGAGGGAAGATGCAGACTGACAAAGAAAAAGATTGTTGACACAAAATAATCAAAATAATGAAAAGGGATGCTTTAGGAGAATTTCTCAAACCATTAAAATGCGTCCCTATATATGTTAAGAATTTCCTAAGTTTCAAAGCTAAGTAGCTTTAAGAAAAAAAGTGGGGGGGAGCTCTACAATTGTTTTATAAATGATTATTTCCATCTTGACCAAACCACTCCTGTTCCATAAACCCACTGATCCAATCACAGTACTTTAGGACAACATTGTCACTAGACAAAGCTTGCCTTGATTATGGAAAAACTAACTTGGTAGAAATGAATACCTTTTTTCAGTGAAGATTTTGAAATCTAGGCCAATAAATAATATAATGGCAATAATCATCCCTAAAAAAAAATGCGGGAAAGAAAAAGATAAGTGATATATATGTGTATATTGCCTTCTATACATGTGTTTTTTTCTTTCTTAACAGCTTTATTGAAGCATATTTGTTTTTATGTGTATTTCATATGTGTGTGTAGTGTTTGAATAAGATGTAAAAATTTTTCATGTCATCAAAAACAGGACATTATAAAGAACAAAAACAAGCTTAAGTCATATACCAGAAAATAATACCATTTCCTTACTTAAGACACAATATAACATTTCCAATGAAAACAAGAAAGTAAAAACCAAATGTAACATATTTACATAAAAATACAAATATTGTTTAAAGTCCATCTTTTTCATTTGCACATGTATGTGAACAGAATTTGATTATCTATAAATGTTCAGAACTTCTAATTTTACAAAAAAGAAAACAAAGAAATTTGCCATGTAGATTGGCAGTCTCTTGTCAGACAATATTTTATTCATCTCTTCTCTTTCCAGTGAAAGCCATGGAATAACTAATTTTAAAGTGCACTTAAACAGGAAAAACACTCCCCTGTAAAAGACTGAAGATTGCGATTATAGTTAAGGCGAGGAAAAAAGTTAAATGTAAGTTGCTGTTTTCAAACCAGGATGCTACTTCAAAAGTGAAGGGTTTACTTTCCACTATCAGCAACAGACAGGTTACCTGTAGGCATTTTAAATCCTGCTTTCATGTTTCATGAAAACACCTACAGCATCCTATTTAACTGTTTGCCTTGTTGACATCCTATTCTGTATTTATTCTTATTTCACATGCAGCAGGGAAGCTTGAAATAAAACATGTCAGGAGTAATTTGAGAGTTTTACTTGGGCTGGCATTGAGATGCAGAGAGAAAGTGTTCATCAGTCCCTTCTCTGTTAGTACTTCACAGTGGGCCTTCAATATTTTGTTTCAAGTGAATTTTCAACAATCTCTATATTCATAACTATATACATAAAGATATTCTAAAGTTAATATAAATGATTTCAGATTATTCATGCTACTATCACCTTCCATCATTATGGAGAGTAAAGTTACTTTTCACAAAGCTGCCTTACACCAAAATATACAAAGTCATTATAAATTATGTCAATATAATAGAAAAACTTTGTTACACTTAATATGCTTATGCTGTGACCACTATAAAATTTAAGAAGCACATAAATCCATGTAAATCAGTAAGTTCTCTGATATGAGTAATTAATAATAAAAAAAGCTATTTAAAATTTATCACCCCTAACATAATTATAACTAGAATAATGGGACCCATAGAAAGTCTCAAATCAACTATCTAGATCCACTAGATAACTCTTCTAAACTATAGAATATGAATCATTAAAATACAATTTATACTCATTCATATATATTACATATAAACTAATTCTCTATAAAACAAAACATTATTAAAGTTGCATATGAAATGGCATTAAACCAAATCACTTTATATATTACAATCTTTTAATTCATTGTGAGAATTAATTTCTCAACAATAAAATCAGAAAGGTGGGCAACAGCCTTCTGAAAACCAGGTTACACTCTATTTCATAAAACATGTCAAAAACAAGAAAAGTGGGACAGGGTGCAGGGAGAGGAAACTAAGATGCTTGATAATCAAAGAACCTATATTTTTAACATAAAAAGAAAGCTGATTAAACTGTTGAAAAGGTAATATTAAAATGCAAATTAACTATGCATAAGACATGTCCCTATTTTCTTAAATTTTTTTTTTCTTAAAAATTTGCAAGGCCAACATACTGCTATATTAACAAGTTGTCATTCACAAACCCATACTCTAATTGTTTCATTCCCCTCACACACTATTTTCAGCAATATTATATTTAAGGATAGAGGTGCAAATATCACTTCCTATCTCTTCTGGAAAAGATGTTCAAGATAAAAAGTGATATTGAGTAGGCAGGTCTGCAGTCTTGACAGAGGTTTATTGAAATCCATAGCTTTCTACAAAAGTGAAAAATTTCTCATCATCAGTTTAAGAAGCAACCTGGAAAAAAATTATCAACTGATCTATAAATGATCAATCTTCAGGAAACAAAATCTGCACTATTTGTTCTGTGCCTGTCAGCATAGTACCATCAGGCATTATGAGGTTTAACTATAAACTGCATTCACGGATGAATAAGCCCTGTGCAAATGTTTCTTCTTCATGAATAGAAATGACATAGAGATCAGTGTGACATTTGTATTGCAAAAAAATTGCTTTAAAACAGCAAAAAGTGGTGTGCTAAATACTAATTTAACATAAAATCTACCTCTTAAAATTCTATAACAGGAAATATCAAACTCTTCTCTTTTAATTGCCTCAAGGAAAATTTCTAAGTATATTCGCATTTAGCACTTCCTAGTAGGGGTCTTAATGTAGGAGAAAAGAAGAGATGAAGAGGTAATAAAACTTAATAAAAAATTTAAAAAGACAGGGAGAGAGAAAACAGGTCTGTAGAATTACAATATTTAAATCACCTCCAAATGGTCAGAAGTAGGCTTTGAAATTCAGTTATTGCTTCCAGAGACACAGGATGAAATTAAAAGTATATAAAATAGTTTCTGACATGTTAGCTTTGGAAAACAAATATAGCTAGTCATCTCATTGAGCAATAGAGGCAATAATCAGGTCTCAGATTTACCTCTCAGCCAAAAGGAACAAAGGACTATCCAGTATGTTTCTCACAGAATGATCCTCCCACCCTTACACTTTTTTCTTTTATTATACTACCTCTCTTCCCAGTTGTGCCCTTAGAAAAAGAAAGACAGATGCATCATGGATTTTCAGAGCTGGAATAAACCTACCAGATTCATAAGGGCAACCTTGCCTGATACATACTCCTTGAGGATAGGGGCCAGTTCTTATTAACCTTAGTTGTGCCAGCACCTGGGATAGACTAAGCACTCAATAAATGGTTTTAGAATGAAACTGAATCCTCTTCCATTGTTATATATAAGGAAAGGGACATTCATAGAGAGGATAAGGTCACTTAGAAATACCACCTATGTCTGCTGACACCCAGGTCTTTGCCATTACTTCATATATGTAGAAATAGACACAATGAGATGACATGTTCTATGTGCCATTAGTGAGCCTGTCTCAACCTTCATGCTAGAAACATCAATTCTGATTTGAGAACTGATCTTTGTCCATACTGAACCAAAGATGATGAATCTAGAGTCCCTGACCTATGTCATACCTTAAGAATTGACTGACTGCTGCTTAAAGAGTGATGCTTCATTGCTACTAAATCACAAGTATTCATTAATGAAGTCAGCCAGTGTTTATTAAGGACTCAATGTATGCTTGATACTGCACTAGGTATGAGAAATACAAACTGAATGAAGTATGTTATCTGCCCTTGAAAGGATCACAGACTAGTGGTTGAAATAAAATTATTTCCATAATGTACTAATCATGGTACTATGGGAAGAGAAGGTACAATATCTACCTCTCCTGGGAACTTCAAAGCGGCTAATATTTGACCAGAGTCTTAAAGATTAAGTCATAGAAAGGAAGAGAGGTTTCTAAACAGAAGGCATACACACAAAGACATTAAACATAAAAGATGTGGCCTATACTGAGCACCACAGGTAGCTGTAGTAGAAATAAGGCCAAATGGGTAAGAAAAGGCCTGATTTTGAAAATAGGAAATGGGAAGACATTAAAGAACTATGCATGTGTGGTGGGAAGGATAATCCTACCCCTGCCCACCAAAAATGTGTATGTACGTCCTAACCCCAGAACCAATGAATATATTACTTCACTTATCAAATGAGCAATTAAGGTTGCAGATGGAATTACAGTTGCTAGTCAGATGATCTTAAAATAAGGAGATTATCCTAGATTGTCCAGGTAGGTCTAATCTTATCACATGACTCTACTGTTCCTGGCTTGGTTAGAGACATGAGATGACAGAAAGAAGAGAAAGAAAGTCAAAGCATAAGAGGACTGGACCCAACTCGACCCTTCAAAACTTTACTGGTTTTGAAGATACAGGGAGAG